ACATGCAACTTTTGATTGCCTATTTAAGTAGTCTGCCCTAGGTTCCACACTAGTTGCCGTACCTGTAACCCAACTAGAAGGTTATTCAATATATAATTTTAAAACACAGTAATAACATATAATAATTTGTTTTATAGCAACAAACATGTATAATGTCCTGGTTGATATATTACAAAATCTAGCTTTTAGTATTGATAATATTGTAAAAAATATACGAAGATTTTAACAATGGAGAAATCGACTACTGTTGATGCCAATAAGAACACGTTTTGTAAACATTAGTCCAAAAAAGACTTCATCAACATCTAAAAAAATGAAGCCTTGTTATTATCTTTCTATTTATAATATTATTTGGAATATTTTAAACAATCCATCACTATATAATATACTATACTTTGGTCCAGAGATCAAAGTAGAAAATAAAAAAGAATACTGGCATAGAGATCTTTGAGCTAAGTCACCACTACTTGGCCAAGATAAAATAACCATTGACAGAGGTATTAATTTTATTTTATTGTAAATATATCACATTAAATCATCACTATTAGAGTAATTAGCATGATTAAAATAATGCTTTTCGCACCTCTGTTAACCACAGTGACAATATGTTTAATGCCATTTTTACTAGTATAAATTTTTTTTTCTAATATGAACTTTATTATAATAACAGAACTTTATCATCTGGGAGAATTTATTGTATATAAAGAAGATAATGAGCAAAGATTTAAATGAATACATTCAATAATTTCTATTAATAATAACTTTTATATAAAAATTCAATAGATTTATATATATAATAAATTACTAGCCAAATTCTATAATAACACACGTTCTGCTACACAGAAATTCCAATTATGGTTGGTGGATCAATATTTGAAGGAAGGAAGCATTATTATTGATACAAGTAAAATTATTAAAAAGATTGATATTTCAATCATTTACACTTCAAATGTTGCTATTGGTCTTTATATTAAAGAAATTTTGTATAAAAGTAATAGTCATTGAAAATTACAAAATATCAATCTTGATTATTTGCATCTATGTGAATATTCTACTTTAATTGCACCATTACCGCAATATAACCATCTTCAAGTTATAAAGTTATTTATTAATATTTATTATGATAACTTTAGTACATATTGAAATGTTTACCATTCCTTAGGTGATGTGTATATTTTATCTCAGATATGAAGCAATTAGAAAGAGAAACACTAATAAATGTTCAAGGAAGTGATTGTTGGATTTTTGCCAGTCTCGGATACACTATAGCAGATCTCCCCAGGGCAATGATCTAGTAGATATAAAAAGACATGGTACAACAAGAGGGTGTAGGACATGTTTAGTTTCAAGAAAAAATACAACAGATAAAAATCTAGATATTGCTAGCATTTTCCATTATCATCATATTACAAATGCCCAATTTGATGACATCTTTGCAGCTCCAATGATTACACAACAAATAATATTGCTAAAAAATATGGTCTGCAAAATTATTTCCCAATACTTGATGAACTTCAATATAAGCAATATCTCTAATCACCACAAGATATTTATCATATTATGGCTAGTAAAACATTAAAACTTCTTAAGTTAACTTTTGCAATATTATCATTAGAAGGTGAACAAAGATTTTTTGGGGTTTGGAAATTATTTGAATATCCTCACCAATAGTCAAAACTTCCAAACCCTATAAGTCATATAGAAAGCTTTATAATGTTAGATTGTTTTCAGCTAGGAATGATAATGCTATTTATATTAAACAAATCATTAATAGTAAACTATTTTAAACCAATAGAGTTAGCCAAATTACAAAGACAAACAGGCTTATGGCGCAATCAAGTGACTAATACAATCATTATATGCTGGTCAATTATGGCCAAATGTACTCGATTAGCATTTAAGTTTCCTTTATCAAACAGTGACTATGAAGATCTTGAAAAGGATTTAAAAAAAAAATGACAAGACTTGACTATAGTAAGCTTACAATGATACTTTTTTATTTTGTGCAATCAAATTTTATTATTTTGAAGCTTATGTTATCAACCAGGCTTTATTTTTGGGAAAAATCATCTAAAGCTTAGTGAGTTGTATTTTATTTTAGTCATGTGATTTACTACAAAGCAATTAACCTAATACTAAAAGCTATATAAATTATATACTGTATATATATTTAAACAATTTCTTTTTTTAAAACAACAATATAACAAACTTATTATGTATGTAACCTTCAAGGTGGGTTATAAAAATGTTTTTTGTATATATATAATATATATATATAAATATAATTGGGTTCACTTTGCACTATATATTTAATTGACCAGTTCTAAAAAATAAACTGAAATTTAGATTATTGGTAATTGAATTTTCAAGTAATATACTAACGATTGTTTCGAGCAGGGTACATATAGCAAATAAATGTGATTTTATTTAAAATTACTAAGTTATATTGAATATAATTATTTTTAGACTTTGTGAGCCTTTCTAATCTTTATGCCTGTTATCATTTACTTCGACATACAAGGACATTTAGAACCTTTATGAACACTGGAGTTAAAACAAAAGAGATGATTCACCGTATTTTTAGAATATAGTTCCATGTACCAATCAAAAGAATGTTGAACTTGATTTATTAAAACATTACACAACTCTTTAGTCTATTTAGCATTTAGCAGATGGTGGATTTGACCTTTGCAATTCATGATCTAATATCGATTTTGTTAATATATTTCAAGGTTCTAAGCATTTATTCAAGAATTGGTTTATTACAGAAGACTTGCTAGATGAAAATAAAGAATTAAATAGTAATATTACTTTTATTATATATTATTAATGGCTTTAATTATTTATTTTAATTATAATAACTTATTAATGAATTTATTATATACTGTATCTTAATATGTTATTGTTATAATAGTATGTTCCCAATCCAACCATATTCAAAATATAAGACTAATAAAGCCAATAAATTCTCATAAGCAAATGATTAAAACTGATATAGCTCTATTTATTCTGACTTGGCACTTGCTTATCAAGATTTCAGATATAATGCATCACTAATCAACCAGTCTTATAATTTTTATGAAAGCGTATCTTATATACAAAATAATAGTTATACTGAAGTTAAATGTTACTTGCATAAGAATAATGTGGTGGCAATTCAAGTGAATGATTATGATGAAAGTTATGTGATAATTAAAGCCATCTTTAAACACAAGAGCAATAACAGCTATTATTATTTGTTCATTTATATTGATTGGTTCGAAGATATAACAAGAAAACACATAAAAATAAATTGTCTAATATTTGTTCTTCATCAAGATACTTCATGTCACAGAATTTTTTCTTTAATATTTGTGGATAGAATCTGAAAAATACATTTTTTATATGATTGTAATGCAGGATGTCAAGATAATAATCATAACTCAGAATATAACCAATATCTAAACAATATTTTCTTTTTTAAGGCTATTTGATAGAGGTTTTATTTAGAACTTTGTAACTTAGAAGTAATAAATTTATGTATAATAGTAATGTAGTACAGGTCTATCACATAAATATAGATATGCATTAAATCACATGATAGCTAAATTATATATCCAATAAAATTGAATGAACTTTGAAAAAAAAAACTTTATTATAAATTACTCTCGTCGATATATAGTAAATTTTTAAAAAAAATTTATTAATGGAACCAACCACTTTATTATAACGAGTTTGATTTGTATTATCTGCTACTGTTTAATATGCAATACTGGTTTTTGGCTAAGACCTCTTTATAGGCTTACTAAAGCTTCTTGTAAGAGTATTTTACATGATTTAGATTTATAGTTTTATTAAATATGTAATTTTATAGAACTGATATTTATTTTTTTGAACTACTACCAAGTTTTGAAAAAATGATCTTTAAAAATCAAGTGCTAATACTCACAGGTTTATTTCTAGTTAACTATAGACAAAAAAACTTATATTATCTATGATACAGCCAAGAAAAATGCTTTAAATTTATAATGTAGATTTTTCTTGACAATATCTAATAAAAATAAAGACACAGATAAGTACTGTTTTTAGCTCATTATTAGAAATTAAATCCTAAAGAAATTTAATCTCTTACATTATAAAATAGCGCTTGCTTGATAATTTATTATTTTCTATTTTATTTTTATTTTTTTGTCTTTATTTTTTCCTTTTATTACTTATTAATTTACTTTATTTTATATTGTTATCTATTTTTTTACTTATTAATTTATTATTAATTTTATTTTCTGCCTATATTTATTATTAATTAATTGTTTATATTATTTATTTACTTATTTTTTTTTACTAAATATTTTTTTCTAGAAAATAGTAATCTTGGCTCAATAGTATGATCAATCTCCGTAAGAAAGATGGGTAGATAAATTGATGGGAAATTTTAATTGGCTGATTAAGAGTCGAATTTAACTGCACAGATAACTACTAGTTCTCAAATAATTAACATTGTGTCTTTAAACCAAAATGTTTATTTAATATTTGTTAATTTGACTCTAATAGTCTGAAATGTTAAAGTTTTTTAGTAAAATAAAATAAATAAAGATTTCTTTACCTGTTTAAATTATTTTCTTTATTAGTGGTTTTATATTATAGATTTTTAGCAAATGAATTTGAAGATTTTTTTTATATACAGTCGCTTTTGTTAATATCTACTTCACGAGGATATTAGATAATTTTATCTATACAAGATTTATAGTGGTAGTGTTTTATATTCATAAAGTTGATAATAACATTAGCTAACAAAAATGAATGTTTTAGTGATATAAAAATGGTATTAATTATAATTGCAACCTGCTGAAGGCTATAATTTCATTATATTTAATTTTTGGATCACTTTATTATTTTTTTTATGAACATTATTTCAACTTTAATAGAAAGTTCCAGAGTACTGAAAATACGATAATATTTTCTTTCAAGATGGCGCCTGTAATTATATCTCTAACCTTTTTTTTTGCACTTATTTTATGACTATTTATGGTTAATAAATCAAACAATTTATTAAAAGCAGATTATGAATTTGCTTATAATAATAATGATAGTTATGATAGCTATAATAGTTCTAACAGTTATAAAAATAATTATTACAATAACGGTTTTGATTATTATTATAAAAATTTGATAAAATTTCTTTATAATAAAATATTAGAATCTTGAATTTCGTCGTGGTATATTTTTTTGTCTATAAATTGATAATTGTTCACGATTAAAAATTGCATATATAAAGTAATCCAATATATGAGTATATATGGTACGCAAAAATTCTTTGATAATACTGTAATAATCGAACAATAAGAATTTTTTACTAATTACAGGTTAATCAGTGGTGATCTATATAAGATTGAATCAGAAGTTTAGTAAGCTTTTACTCTTTCTCTTTTCGATCGATTTACACTGAATGATAATAACAATACTGCTTTTTCAATATGTGTATAAATGTAAAACTTACATTTAACTATACACTTTGAACCTACTATATTCCTGGTATATATACTAAATATAGACTTACTAGCTTTCTTCTAAATAGTTTTTTTTTTTTTTTGTAAATTATTACTAGGTAAAAGCAGCGTAATTACTTTTCCAATATGTGTACAAACGTAAATCTTATATATACACTTCAATCTACTACGTTCTTGATATATATACAGAATTGGCTCCTAGTATTCTTCAAGCTTAGAAACTCTAATCCTGATTAATGAACTTGGTAGTTTGATTTACAGTCTGACCTCTTTATAATCATATAGTTGAGATGATAGTAACTTTTTTAAAAAATGTGCTTATAATGAAATTGTGCTTATATAGAGGTTTTTTCTATATATTTATAG